TATAATTACATTTTACTTTAATTGTTTAAATTAGTGGCCTTTTTCTTTCATGTTGTGTTGACAGCATTTTATAATTTCGTATTTCAGTGTTTTGAGCATGAGATTTGATTCGCTCGTCATTTTAACTTGCAGCTTGTCAGAGTCTCTCTGACTTCCATTTTAAGCTCTTTTGTCTGAGTTTGGTTTTTATCTTCAGGGCTTTTCAGACTGGGTATTTTAAGGCGACTGTGTCAGACAGATTAATTTAGTCACTGCCTGCTTGCATAATATTCTCACTCTCATTAAACAACTACCCCTGTTTTCACACATTTGATTTGCATGTGAAATTCAAGCTATTGAGCTGAGAGATGGTTCTCCTCCTTATCAACGGCAAACTACTCAAAACTTTAGCTTTTGCGGAATCTCGACTTGTCTTCAGCTGATAAGAGCAATTTAAGTAGTTAAATTACCTTCTCAGAGAGGTTAGCAACTAGATGTTATTGTCATTTCCAGATTGCAGCAAAAGCATAAATCCTTGCAGAGAAGGAATAACTGTTTTAGATAAAGCCCTAAAGCCTTTTCTTCCTGCAGCAGAAGCTGTTTTCCACTGTTGGAGTGCAGAAATGGAAAGCTCTTCTGTAGCATGAACATTTCATAGACAAGCGACGTGTTAAAAACGGCGACGGGCTGAAAGTAAATAGTTGGCTATGAATCTAAGTGGTGTCTTTTTTTTTCTAGTGACAGATACTGTTTGGAGGAGGTAGATTGCTTCCTCCTTTGCCATTAGGAACCAGGAATGTGACTGGAAAACTTAACAGGAATTGTAGATTGGCTTTTGACAGCAGTGTAACATTCAAATTGACCAGTGTAGTCAAATTCATGGAGAAATGATGACTCTTTTTAGTAAATCTAAAACAGACCTCATGACCAGTGTATCCTGATTCCCAGTTCCCAATGACCCAGTTTTTTAAAATAAATCTAGCTAAACTATACAATGTGACCAGTGTCATCCGATTCACAAACAAATGACTCTTGTGACCCAGTTCTTTTTAATGAATCCAAAACACAGTGTGACCAGTGTCAACTTATTCACAAACAAATGATTCTTATGAGCTAGTTATTTTAATGATTTGTTCAAAAAGATTACAAGTTTGAATCAATCTGACAAATCCTTCACTAACCCGAACCATTCAGAGCAGCTAGTGAATTAAAATCTTACACAGAACTGCAATTCTATTGTTTTCAGGGATATCAAAATGAAAAAGAAAATATGCACTTTACCAATAAATGTTTCAACAGCATATTTGTAAACTTAAGCAGCATTTCCTTAGTAACATAATTTAATCCGAACCTTTGAGATGTCATGTGGTGCAAAAACAACATACAATTTGAACAGTGCAGTCAAATTCAGGAAGAAATGTATCTTATGAGACTGTTATTTTTAGTGAATCACAAGCACACCTCATGACAAACATACCTGATTCACAAACCAACAACTCTTATGACAGTTCTTTTTAATAAGTCAAAAATGTACACCGTGACCAGTGTCATCCGAATTAGAAACGCTGAAAGTTATTTGAATGATTTGCTTAAAAAGATGGTTTACAAGTTTGAATCAGTCTGACAAGTCCCACATTTCCATTCAAAGCGGTTAGTGAATTAACATCTTACACTAAACTGCAAGTTTATTGTTTTCAGGGTTATTTAAATGAAAAAGAAACTGTGCACTTTATCTTTAAATGTTTTAATGGCATATTAGTAAACTCAAGCGTCCTTTTCTTGATGACAGGAATACCGAGACATAATTTAGTCCGAGCCTTTGAGATGTCTGATGCAGTGCATAATTTTTTCTTTTGGGCTTTTTAATGTTGACATTGAAAGGTTACATCTGGACCCCATTACTTTGTCCCACAGCCTTTGATAATTACACTCTTTTTTTTTTTCTTTTTTTTTTACGTTACCCTAATGACAGCTGTTGTTGCCAGAATGCCCAATGACTGTAGTTATTTCTGAGACCCTGGAGAGGAAACGTCATCATGACAAGTTGCAGTCTTGTCCCCTATCATATTGTGACAGAGAGAAATTGTTGGCTTTAATTACTTCGGTTCTGTTCTAAAAGCATCCCGTTGATTTGAATCCCATTTTTGGCACTGTAATGGAAATTTCAGATGTAATGTCTGTTGATAAGAGCCCAGCAGCATATTCAAGGGGAGACAAACAGGCAGATTCTCTCGCCAGTTCTCATATCTATTTATTCTCTCTCTGCCTCTCTGACAAATTTCTTGCGTGCAGATAATGACTAGAGCAGGCAGGCTGCTTCTGCAGCTCAGCGGTCATGATTTTCAGACAGGCCGTTGAATCTCCTTGGCTCTTTCATGGTGGTTGGGCTGTAATTTTGCCAAGTACGTGTGCTGAATGCTGATGCGCTCCGGTCGAACTTTGCCTCTGCGGCAGCTCGCAACAGTGGCAACTCGAGTCATTTTCAGTCAGCTAATACAAGTGTTATTGACTTCTCTTTGGCTAATGATAGAAAGGCCCTCTGTGGCAGCTACATCTCAAGCACATTGCGCTCTCTATTCACTTTCAGTATGAATAACCATGTAAGACGCCTAGCTAAGTGTTAAGTGAATTTGAATTTTGACTAGTGAAACACGAGAACTTAAAGGGTACATATGATGCGATTTCAAGATTTCCTTTCTCTTTGGAGTGTTACAAGCTGCCGCCGCCAATGTTGTGAAGACACTGTGTGTTTCGTTGCGAAAGCGAAACTACTTTGTTTGGCCTTCCAAAAGAGGACACGACTAGAAATCAGTGGTTAAGTTGTATTTACAACACTGTTCCAGAACAGTTCAACCCAAATATTCAGATGTGTGCAGTGCACTTTATGGAGGACTGTTTCTTGATCCTGGGATAGTAGACTACAATGCTGGCTGTTCTGACTCAGTCTGTAAGTACGTGTTTTTCATAATTAAAGGATTTGTCACTGATGATTCAAACGCGAGATTTGAGCAGTGTAGAGTAGCGCTTGTTGTTTGTCATTTCTCCGATCACAAATGCAGACATGGTTTTATGTTTACGCGGCGCGATGCAAATCGATACGTTTCAGAAAGGCGGGGCATAGAGGAGAAACAATAATGTACAGTATTTGGAAAATGTGTTTTTGATAGGGATGTTCATTTCGGTTCATTTTTCCTAACCGACAACCGACGCTTGTTAACCGATTATTACCCGTTAACCGACAAGATTATTTTAAATTAGAATTGAATTAAATTAGAAAGGATAAGTGTCTGTGACCCGTTAAAAATACTAACATTTGTTTCCCGGGGATTAATTTTACATGCGCAAAAAGCTGCAAACAACAGAACATGAGGATTCACATGGTCATCATATCACATTACGCACCTGCAGCGCTTCTGCGAGCGGAGAAAAACATTAAATTAAGAAAACGAAAGAAAAACTGTGCAACAAGTATAGCCTTTCGGTTCATTTTTGTGCTGCGCGAAAGGAAACCAGTCGACAGAAAGCAGCATCCTATTTTTCTTTAGGCTTATTTTACAAAAGCACAAATATTAGTTTTTATTGTGAATGTACACAAATAAAAGCAAACCTTTTAAAATTCCGATTATCTTCATGACTAAAAGGAGTAGTTGCTTCCACTGTTAGAAGGAAAAAATTCAAGGGATTGCGCCGGTGCCGCATGCGCGCACACAGTTAAGCTTTGCTACCCTGACAATGCAGCCTGTTGGTCAAACATATGGAAAAAAACACACTGCTCAGTTTAAATATGAAGTAAAATCTGTGCCGTGCGTTATCACAAATTATGTTTACGTTATGATGTTATGCAAAACCTTTTGTTTTACGTGGATATTGGAACGCCAGTGAAGTAGGCTTCATAATAGATAATATTTTGGCATTCAAATACATCGCGAATATGGAATCATTTGATTGTGTCAAATGAGAGACCCAACGTTGGTTTCAGTTTTGTTTTAGCCTAAATTAATTCGTTTTGGCTTGTCGTTTATATAGCTATAGCTTCTTATATTTTTAATTCTTGTTCTTTTCGAAATAGCCTACTGTTAATTGAAAGGATTTGTTGTGGAGTGAGGGGAACTAAAATAGCCTAGCTACGTATGTTTACAGTGTTTATTATAATGTTTGTAAACATTTCGCGTCGGCATTAGTCCTATTTCTGAATGAAATAATAAAATGCGACTTATACGCCACTTGCGTAGCGTATTTTAACCATGCACAAAACCTTTTTAAATATTTTGATAAATTACTGAAATAAATAAATAAATTACTTTTTAAACCGTTTAACTGATTGTATTAATCGGTTAAAAATTCTTACGGTCGGTTAACCGGTTAAAATGAACATCCCTAGTTTTTGAACCTTAAACTGCATAAACACATTTCATTACACCAAATACACCAAATAATGTTCTTTTTAGCAACATCATATGACCCCTTTAATACCCTGACTATCATTGAGCATTTACCCTCAGATAAATGTTGGACAAGCCCTGAAATAATCCTGGGTTTCCAGCAAAATAAATCACTTGTAAAACCATGACACAGTCCAGGGTTAAGTCCTGAGCAGTGTCTAGAATTAGGCTCAAATGTTCAAAAAACTCCTGCATCCTCATCTTCTCTTCCTGTTCTTCACAGCCTGATAAACCGAATGCTACAAAGGGATCCGAAGAGGCGAGCATCGCTGGAGGAGATCGAGAGCCACGCGTGGCTTCAAGGTGTGGACCCATCTCCAGCCACCAAATTCAACACCCCACTGGTGTCTCACAAGAATCTGTCAGAAGAGGAACACAACAGCATCATCCAACGCATGGTGCTGGGAGACATAGCCGACAGAGAAGCCATCATCGAGTAAGGCTTGTTGTAGGCTTGTGATACAAATGTTATGAAGCTGGGATCTCTGATATCCTCAGGCTAATGTACAGTATTTTCCACAGAAGAAATAGCTCTCTGTCATTCTTTGATTTTCCTTAAGCAGGACTGTCGTGAAATGAAAGACTACTTTAGAAAGTGCCTTCAGGTTTGTGGAATCAGCTTGATTTTAGTGTAAAGGGTGTCAACGTTCTTCACTTGAAGATGAGTTAGCTGGACAGGGAATAGGTAGCAAAAGAGTGTTCAATCCAGTTTAAATGGCACTACTGTCAAGTAATATATCTCCGCCAACATCTTAGGCCCAAAAAGTACTCTACGCAATACAGTAACACTTAAGCTTCTAGCTACACAATTTCACACATTATTGTGTTCTGAAATATGTCCAAATTCAATTCATTACACAACACAAGTTGTCATGAATTCTTATTCTTTTAGTGTTGCCACAAAGGGCACTAAAACAGAGTTACCTGAACTGTCGTCTCTGTCATAAGTGTTCTTTTCAGGTCAACTACTGTAATGGCGGAGCAACAGTTTGAAAATAATTTTCAATCATAATGTTGTTTATAACTATTTGAACAGCTGTATGTACTTTTATTTTTTATGTATTTGTTTTAATGAGCCATTTAAAGTAGGGATACACAATATATTGGTATCATGTCAGTTATTGGCCGACATTAGAGATTTTTTTTTTCTAATATCTGTATCTGTCATTATTGAATCAAGCAAGTACTTAAATTATCTTTAAATCCGTTGAAACATGAGACCTTTATAATGATCTGAATATTATTGGGGCAAGCCGAAACAGTCAATTAGTGATGCACCCAAATTTCGGCAACTAAAATTGTTTTGGTTAATGATTTCTGCCCTCTAAAACTGTGACGTTTAAATAGTGTCTCTCTGATGATGCGTTTTGACTACGTCTGCATCAGTTTCGTACAAACAGCACGGATAAGTAACAACAGGTAAACATGTCAGCTGTGTGGATGTACTTTACTGTGACAAAAAATTATACTATTTTAGCAATATGTAACATTTTTTTTTGCTGAAATATTGATAGGTGGCTCGTTGACTATGGCTGGTTTAATTTATTACCTGAAAACACAACACGTTAATGTTATATTCTGTTTCAGTTTTCGGCTAATTAAAAACTTTTTAATTTCAATTTAGGTGAAAAAAATTAATTTCGGTACACCACTAAAGTTGATAACACTGTTGATTGTAATCTTTACCAAATCTCAAAATCAATATCCAAGTTTTATTCTGTTGTGTCCATCTAGGCTGTTGTAATTCAGCATGGCTGTATTAGTAGTAGGGTACCATTTTTCGTAAGTGTTAAAAAATAAGTTAATCTCACTGTCAGTGGAGCATGAAACGAACATAGTGCAGAAGACTCCCGCTGTACAGTCTTGTAGAAAGATGCATGCTGGGTGACGGTTCAAAGCACCCATCAGTGTTTTCTATGTCTTTGATCCCACTCTGCAGCAGCTGGGGAACCCCACTATGAAAAACTGTAGTCAGTCTGCCTTAAAGGCATAGTTCACCCAAAACTGAAAATGACCCCATAATTTATGGCATCCTAGGTGTATATGCCTTTCTTTATTCAGACGAATACAATCAGAGTTATATTTAAAAATGTGCTGGCTCTTCCAAGATTTATAATGGCAGTGAATGGGTGATATTCAATAGTCCAATAGAAGTCCAATAAACTGTGGCCATCCATCATAAAAAAAAAAGAACTCCACACGGCTCCGGGGGGTTACTAAAGGCCTCCTGAAGTGAATCGATGCGTTTTTGTAAAATATCCATATTTAAAACTTTATAAACCTTAATCTTTAGCTTCCGCTGACTGTCGTACTCACATTCACTAGAGAGTGGTGTTCCAGTACAACGTGGGCATAGCCTAAGCTGGTCATAAATTAGAAGTATAAAACGAGGATTTGTAAAGAAAAATGTCAGAGGATTTTGATATAAGCCAAGAGGAGACTGGCTTCCTTTGCTCCTGTAAACAAAACTTGGTTCTTGTGAATCTAGCATATTCTCACCGGAGCTTACATTGCGCCTACCTCCTACGTCATCCGCTGGAACGCCACTCTTGTGTGCGTGCGTACCAGTTAGTGGAAGCTAGAGATTACGGTTTATAAAGTTTTAAATATGGATATTTTTCTTACAAAGACCCATCGATTCACTTTAGGAGGCCTTTATTAATCCCCCTGAGCTGTGTGAAGCACTTTTTTATGGGCTATTTAATGGACTTCTATTGGACTATTGAATATCACCTATTCACTGCCATTATAAAGCTTGGAAAGGCAAGGATATTTTTAAATATAGGCTAACTCTGATTGTATTTGTCGGAAAGAAGAAGGTCATATACACCTAGGATGGCTTGAGGGTGAGTAAATTATAGGCAATTTTCATTTTTGGGTGAACTATACATTTAAAGGTACCCTCAAAATGTTTTAAAGAAGTGTACTGAATGATTGCATTAAAATCCCATGTACAAGTCATTTCTTCCTTTTCTACAATTTTCTTGTTACACACACGCAAATACAGCGATTTGAACTAATTTGTTCAATCGTTGGTATGTAATCCCCAAAGAAGCAGTTTAATCTCTGCTAACATGTCCAGACTCACCAGCTTGAAAAGTTGGATGCAGAATGTCCCATTTGTATTGGGGAAGTGTGTTATCTGGGATTCTTCATAGTTATTTTAGTCTCAGGTGTTCAAAATGTTGGGCACTATGCAAGACCTTTTGAACTGATGGAAGCCACTCGGGTCTCTAGTTGTTAGAGCCCTAGAGTTTTACTAGTTATTGACATTTCAGATTGCATTGTCTAAACTGGTGTTTCTCTCTCACACACTGTCTGTATATCCTCCTCACTTGTCCATTCTCTTTGCTCTTCCTCCAGAGCCCTGGAGACAAACAAGTACAACCACATCACTGCTACTTACTTCTTGTTGGCTGAACGGATCCTGAGGGTTAAGCAGGAGAAGGAGGTGCAACCTCGTTCTTCCAGCCCCAGTAACATCAAGGCCCACTTCAGGTACATCATGGGGGTTATGCTATCTCAGCAGTCTGTCATTTAGTCATTTGTGTTTTGTCAAGAGAAATGCTACTTAGTTATGTACTATGTTTTATTAAGTCCACCGGGTTTTGGTGCAACATGCAAAACTCAATATCCAAGGTATTTGAAACATTTGCTCAGATTCTCAACTTGCTCAAGGGCAGCTTAATCGTGGGTATTGAAGGTACAGTGCTCTCTTCTACCTTGAATACCCATGACTGAGGTGCCGTTGAGCAAGGCACTGAGACCCCAGTTGCTCCCTGCCCACCACAGCAAATGGCTGCCCACTGCTCTGGGTGTGTGTTCACAGTGTGTGTGTGTTCACTACTCACTGCTGTGTGTGTGCGCTTGGATGGGTTAAATGCAGAGCACAAATTCCAAGTATGGGTTACCATACTTGGCTACGTCACGTGACTTTTTTTTCTTTTTCTTTCCCATTTCTAATTTTTGTGCTATGTACCCATTCCCAATTACAACCAATTGGTTTTTCCATGTGCCACATGATAACATTCTGACTTTAGAGTAAGAATTAAAATAAATTGGGGAGGAAAGGGGTGTAACTTCCTTTATTGCTGAATCTCATGGTCACCCCTTGGAATGTAGTTGGATTTATATTTCTAGAAAGGTTTGACAGTGGATCCCTGAGGTTTTCATGGTAGTGAAAATTTAGGAATTTCTTATTGCAGACGCTATCACAACACAGACATGGTAACAAAACAAATTGAATAAAAAACCCAATTACTTGAAGATTTGTGCATTCATGCCTAGTAACAAACTTGAACTAGTACCAAAGTCAACCGGTGGAGAAACCATGTGATTCACATTCTTTTCCAATTTGTACTTGGCTCATACCTTAGTATGTTTGAAAAATAAACCATTTACAACATTGCTCTTATTTTTTTGTTGTAATCATCAACAAAACAAACAGTTTCAAATCAGTCTGCCATGCCATGGTGTGCACAGGCAGGCTATCTGCAGGTTTGTTGTGAAATTTGACCTTAACCCAGATCACAATTGCAGTGTTCTCGTTAATCAGTGTGCCCTTCATAGACAGAAAGAGTTTATAGGCTGTATGTACTCAGAATTGTAATTCCTGATCCTAGAGGAGAATATAGTTGAGCAGTTAGAGTATAAATTCTGACTGGAACATTATTTCGACGTATGAGGTTGACTTGATATTATGCAGATATTTCCACATGCATAGACTGACAGCATCATTTGCACCAACCTTATTAGGCAATTGCAGTAATTCTGTCTTTAATGATTAACAGATATGGGAATGTTTACAATCCTTTCTCATCAGGCCTGTAAACACAGCTATAGTTTCATAAGTCAGACTAAGTGCACTTCATTATATCCTAGAAATAGTAATGTAAGCCATGCAAAAACTGACTTTGTAGGCAAAATTTTACCAAGGTTGTCACAAGTTTTGCCCCGTATCCTTGCTAACAGATTTTCTTTACAGTTCTCGCTGACCAGAAGTGTGATTAAACATGCGTTTATTCACACAAGGCATTTGCTGTATTTGTTTGCATTGTTTGACTTGTCGTCATTCCAGCATAAGGTTTATAGTAGGGCTGCACGATAAATCGCATGCGATATTTAACGCGCATCTTATCAGTAAAGCCGCTTCTGTAATCAGCGGTAAATCTCCATCACCTGCGGGCTTTCACATTGAGCAGCATTAACTACACAGAGCCGTTGTTCACAGACGAGCAGCGCAAAACCACGTTCATATTCGCGCGATTTTTTGCGATGCTCGTCAGTGAACAACGGCTCTGTGTAGTTAATGCTGCTCAATGTGAAAGCATGCACGTGATGGAGATTTACCGCTGATTACAGAACCGGCTTTCTGACAAGATGCGCGTTAAATATCGCATGCGATTTATCGTGCAGCCCTAGTTTATAGAATGTTAATGTGGTTATGACAACTAGAGAGGATGTGCTGGAGCTATGTTCCACTGATTTACTTTGTTTCAAAAGCTTTAGCAGAGTATATTTTTCCATAGCAACTTGCATGAAAGTGCACATACTGTGCTGTGCAAATAATACTCCAGCAGGAAGGTAAGAATATAAGAAAAGACTATAAAAGCAAGTTACAGCAACAATGCAGAGTTATCTTGTAAATCGCATGGTCCTTGCTTGAGTGCTTGGCACAAGAAGGAAGTCTGGCTTTTGTCAAGGACTGTCATTAACATTTGGGTTGTTTTCCTAGGGCACTCTCCAGAGCTTCTGTCTTTAAAAGTTGTTTTTGGAAATGTCCACCTTTACTGAATATCATCCTGCTTAAGTTACAACCTCTTTTTTGGTTTTGACTTTTAAGTGGGATTGTACTCTTTTTTTAAAGCAAGGTTATTTATATCAAGGACTATGTCCTTTTTTTTTTTTTTTCTTTTGCAGGCAGTCATGGCCGACCAAAATCGGCATGCATCAGGACATCGAGGACAGCTTAGCCTCTTCGTCCATCTCTCATGCTGGAGGTCCACAGTCTCCTGCTCGCAGTACAGAGAATCTGCTAAACGGTCATCGCAATAAAGGGCTTCTGGAAATGAGTCGTAGAGAGGAGATCAGCGAAGCCTCCAGCAGCTCTGCTGCACCTGCAGCTCTGCCCCCAAACCCCCTTAAGCCTGGCGTCATTGGCCCTCTTGCATCCACTTCAGCCAAGCAACGAACCTGCCTGTTTCGGGTGGAAGAAGATGAGGAAGAGGAAGAAGAACAGGAGCCTTCACCCTTGCCCTCCCAGGTGGTGTTGCGCCGCAAGACATTGTCCATCACCAACCGGCTTACATCTCGAAAAAGCGCCCCAGTGCTCAATCAGATCTTCGAGGAGGAAGGTGAATCAGATGATGACTTTGACATGGATGAGAGTCTTCCACCCAAGCTCAGCCGGTTGAAGATGAACATGGCATCTCCTGGTACGGCTCAGAAACGCTACCACCGGCGCAAAAGTCAGGGCCGCGGTTCAAGCTGCTCTAGCTCCGAGACCAGCGATGATGATTCGGAGAGCCATCGCAGAAGACTAGACAAAGACACAGGGTTCACCTACAGCTGGAACCGCAGGGACAGTAGTGAGGGTCCACCTGGAGACTCTGGGGGCAATGGGGGTGGAAGTAGCGGAGGGCAGAGTAAACCACCTGGGGAAGGTAACTCAGGACCAGACAAGGGCAGCCCTCCAGGAGGAGGGAATGGTGGTAGTACAGGAGGGGGCAGTGGAGGTGGTGGGAGTTCAAAAGGACAGGGAGGCCCTTCCAGCTGTTCCCGTAACAATGCTTCATCTGGCTCGACACGTAGTGCAGCTCGGAGTGCGGGGGAACTGGTAGAGAGTCTGAAACTCATGAGTCTATGCTTGAGTTCTCAGTTTCAGCATCGCAGCTCTGGAGGAGGTGGTGGTGGACGATTTATCCTTGATCCACAGAGCCTGTCCAGCGTTAAAGTTCAGGAGAAATCCTCCTGGAAGATGTGCATTGGCTCCAACAACAGTCTAGACAAAGTGATCAACCCCGCCTTGAATGGTAGTGTTGGGGCAATTGAGCATTATCAAGACCAAACGGCGGTCATGTTAAATGAACTTGGCCTGGTCAAGGAGAACAACCTGAACTTGAAAAATAATGTTCTCCAGCTACCTCTGTGTGAAAAGACCATCTCCGTGAACATCCAGCGAAGCCCCAGGGATGGGCTACTCTGTGCCTCAGCCCAGGCCAGCTGCTGTCAGGTCATATGATGGCATGGCACACGGCTGGTTCTCAGAGTGGATTGTTCCTATTGCCACATTTGTAGCATACGATGACTTGAGTTCTCCACCAGTAACTGTAAATGACCTCTCTTGATCCCAACTTGACCTTTAAACCTGCCTTCAATGTCGTCTTAATCATTCTCACAACTTATTAAGTTCTTCTCTTGGACCCATTGGTTTTTAATGAAGTGCACGCTGCTATCCTTTTCTTTTTTGTGTCTTTATTTGTTTTGCCCAATTAGACTTTAATATTTGTTTTCCAAGTCCTGTTCATTTTGTTTTTTAGCCCTTGAAATGAAATGCTCTTAATATGAATTCCATGGTTCCAACACAACCCAATCAGTCAAGAGTTGTGGAAACTGTATGTATAAATAAATGACCTTTAATAAAGAGAGATTTAAATTAAGACCCAACAGTATGGTAGAACAGAACATGGCAATTCATAAAACAAGCACTTAAAGAAACTCAACCTATAAAAACCACAACTGGTTTTGTAAATTTAAGCCCCGATATGATTGTAATGAGATGGTAATACAGTAAAAGCAATAGTGGGAGTAAAGAACAAACCCTGTTTTTTTTTTCTTAATTCATAGTGCTGTCTGAGTCTTAAACTGAAAGACCATTTTGCATACTTTTTTTTTTGCACATTTTTTAGGTGCTATTGACTGTTTCCTTGTCACCATATACGATGACTTGAGTTCTCCACCAGTAGCTGTAAATGACCTCTCTTGATCCCAACTTGACCTTTAAACCTGCCTTCAATGTCGTCTTAATCATTCTCACAACTTATTTATTAAGTTCTTCTCTTGGACCCATTGGTTTTTAATGAAGTGCACGCTGCTATCCTTTTCTTTTTTGTGTCTTTATTTGTTTTGCCCAATTAGACTTTAATACAATTTAATATTTGTTTTCCAAGTCCTGTTAATTTGGCTTTTTTTTAGCCCTTGAAATGAAGCGCTCTTAATATGAATTCCAACACCACCCAATCAGTCAAGAGTTGTGGAAACTGTATGTATAAATAAATGACCTTTAATAAAGAGAGATTTAAATTAAGACCCAACAGTATGGTAGAACAGAACATGGCAATTCATAAAACAAGCACTTAAAGAAACTCAACCTATAAAAACCACAACTGGTTTTGTAAATTTAAGCCCCGATATGATTGTAATGAGATGGTAATACAGTAAAAGCAATAGTGGGAGTAAAGAACAAACCCTGTTTTTTTTTTCTTAATTCATAGTGCTGTCTGAGTCTTAAACTGAAAGACCATTTTGCATACTTTTTTTTTTGCACATTTTTTAGGTGCTATTGACTGTTTCCTTGTCACCATTTAGAAATGTTCAGTATATATAAACTTTTGAGGTTAGTGACAATCAGTTGCAATAACAAGGGACATTTTTAATGGATAATTTCCAAAAGGGGGCTACAGATAACCCAGAGTTAAAAAAAAAAATGTTTTATTTGAATAACATTAAAACACATTCACCATGTTCTTGATTCACATCACACCACATCTTTTTTTTTTTCCATTTTGAATATAAGTGCAATTTATACACAATTCCATCTGCGAAATGCCCTCTTAAGTTAATAATGTTTTGCCAAATTCGCAACCCAGACAGCACTGTGGAGACACCCACACATAAATGTTCATCCTAGTTTTTATCAAATTATCAAATTAAAATTGCACTACAGTATAAGTAGAGTCTACAATTAGGATAGTTTGAACACCATACAAATCACAGGGGGGATAATTAGCCTTTCTGCCAGAGCAAAATCAAACTCGCAGACAGTATTCAGCTTGTATAGTACTGAACATTTTAATGAGAACCGTTGAGTCAGTACTCATTTTTCTCAACATCATTATTAAAACGTAATTTGAATAGAGAAATCATTTTATCATTAAGGACTCTTCTTTGGCTTATTAAATAATTTTCGGTTCCAGACCATAATCTCTATCTCACTCCTGTTGTTCTTGTTCCATTCAGCTTTGAGTTACTGTTATATACCAGTCTCAGATTCGACTGGCCTTAGGGGATGTTTATAAGTATGTACATATTTTTTTAAAAGTTTATTTTTTTTAAAGAACTGCTGTTTTAAAATTCTGTTTTGGATGTGAGCCTTGAACTGGCTTATAGTTGGGATATAATGGGGCTTTTTTTTGTCACCTGGCCACCTGATAACAGATAAATAAATAGATGGGATGTCTTTTATTCAGTGGATGGCCACTCTTTCAGGAAATATGGCTTCAAGAGTTGGCCCTTTGGGGACCATCGACTGGTATAGAAATAAGTCAAAGCTCTACAGGGCTGTGAGTGTGAAAGAGAATCGGTTGTGAGATTTAAAGGGCATTTGCAATAAGCTAAGCTATAAGTTGCAGCTATGTGTAAATATAATTTTGTTTTTGTTTTTATATTTCAAACCTGTACATCCTTCAAATGGCTCACTTGACCCAAATTATCTTTAATATTTTTTTAAAAGTTTATTTTTTTGAAAGAACTGCTGTTTTAAAATGCTGTTTTGGATGTGAGCCTTGAACTGGCTTATAGTTGGGATATAATGGGGCTTTTTTTGTCACCTGGCCACCTGATAACAGATAAATAAATAGATGGGATGTCTTTTATTCAGTGGATGGCCACTCTTTCAGGAAATATGGCTTCAAGAGTTGGCCATTGGGTGACCATCGACTGGTATAGAAATAAGTCAAAGCTCTACAGGGCTGTGAGTGTGAAAGAGAATCGGTTGTGAGATTTAAAGGGCATTTGCAATAAGCTAAGCTATAAGTTGCAGCTATGTGTAAATATAATTTTGTTTTTGTTTTTATATTTCAAACCTGTACATCCTTCAAATGGCTCACTTGACCCAAATTATCTTTAAGTATTTCTGTTTGTTTTGTCTTTTTGTTTGAAAAGTAAAGTCTGTAAATATTGGTGTAAATATGGTGCTCTACACTTAGAAATGCAGTGTTGGACTTCTTGTTCATAGCTGTAATATAGCCTTATTAGATATGAGTGTCGAAAACAGAGCAAGAGAGGTTGAAAAAAAAAAAAAACAGTGCTATATGTATAATGTCGGTCTCTGACTTTGTCCTACCCTAATGTAAACAGCTAAAACGACATGTGCATGTGTTGTGCGTTTGACATTATTGGTCCACGTTCATTCAGAGGAAAAGAACCACCACAAAATGTTACAGGACCAAACCATGTACTGACGTAAAAAAAAACAAAAAACTTTGAAGAAGCAAAATGAATAAATGTTCTGTTGCTGAAACTTGTCTTTAAAAGTTACATATAGCTATGGTGATGTCAAAAATTAAATGTGAAATATGTTGTCTTTAAACCCGGACTTCCTTTGTCCGTTTTTTGGTGTTGGAGCCCTACTTTTTTTCTCATTGAATAGCTTGTTTTACTACAAAATACATTACGTTATGTTACTCCAAAATACATAACGGAAGTAAAATGGTAATATTTCACATTAAAGTTATTTATCTGTGGGCTTTCTGTACAATAGAAGACATCTTGGTTCAGAGTTTCACTGGACACTATGTGGCAAGAAGTTAAACTTGACAGAATACCGCTACCCACAAGCCCCTGCTGCTGAAAGGTATTTGCTCTTAATTTACTGCCCGCTTGTGCTGCCAAGGTGTCTCCAATAACCAGGGGTGTCTCAAGTACACGCTTCTCATCCAAGTACATGTCCAGCATCAGCTTAATGGTCAAACACACTATATGCGTGTTGTCAATAGAGCGCCTTGCGAGCACACAGACACGTTCTACATATTGTCAGTGTCACTGCTGGTCAGTGGAAACTGCTGAGACCGCTTCACTGTCAGAAAGTGTGACAAACGGTTCCCTAATTCGATTGAGTTGTAAGTTGGCTAGTCGCACTGCCCTCCGTCCTCAGCTTCAGGAAACATCAAGAGTGAAGACACCGGGAGTTGTTTGTTTTGCTCCCAAAACCTTAGTCTTTTTAAACACATTTGTGTAATTAGTCAAATAGAATTGTAAATAGCAAGTCTCTATATCAAGACAAGATGATAAATGACTGTTTACATGCATACAATTGTCTAATCCCATCTAATCACATTTTTCTCACTCAAGTGAGTCCACGGATGCCACCGATTAGTTATCCCAATGAAACAAACTGCATGCCATTTCTAAAAATATTTTTTTACAAATTTGTGAAAGTATATCCATTAACCTGTAAAGTTGAAAAAAAGGTTGCTTAATAGAAAATAAAATCAAAAAAAGAAAAGAGAAATAATTAGTTACTTTGGTAAAAACTAACTGAAGTAAAACTTTGGAACAAACCACAACATAAATCAGTATACAGACAAGAAAAGAATTTCAAGCCCTACGTTTTATGCTGTTGTATGCTGCTTAAGGACATGAATGAAAATTGAATAAACGTGCTGTGTAATGGAAAGACGGAGTATAATAGGAAAATAGCGAGAAAACTAGCATGTTTCTGAATATGTGATTAATACTAACTAGCATGTTTTGCATGAAAACATGGTCACTGAATCGCTAATGTCATAAAAAAAAAAATTTAGGTGTTCTTACAATATTTCAGTGTTTGTTGGTAATGCAGCTTCTGAGTTTAAGGCTGATAAAGGACACCTTCTGAAAGTCTCAATCACAAATGTCTCATCCCAAGGTGTGGAAAGGACGAGGAGTATGTTATCTGAATATTTAAAATGTTTATTTTCAGGCAGAGAATATTGAATATACTTATTTCAAGTACAGTGCAGGGTGAAGTGGCCTGACATCTGTAAACAAAAGCCATAACAGTTAAACATGGTACAGTGATGTTTAAAGGCACTGCTCTATCTTTGGTAGAACTTGGAGTGATTGAAAACGGACAATTTCAAGTCCTCAAACAATTTTTTATTTAATTCCTCAAAAATAAAAATAAATTGTTTTTTGGCCCAATGTCTGAGAAATACTTCTTCTAATCACCTCTTTAAGAAAAGAATTTCAAGCCCTACGTTTTATGCTGTTGTATGCTGCTTAAGGACATGAATGAAAATTGAATAAACGTGCTGTGTAATGGAAAGATGGAGTATAATAGGAAAATAGCGAGAAAACTAGCATGTTTCTGAATATGTGATTAATACTAACTAGCATGTTTTGCATGAAAACATGGTCACTGAATCGCTAATGTCATAAAAAAAAAAATTTAGGTGTTCTTACAATATTTCAGTGTTTGTTGGTAATGCAGCTTCTGAGTTTAAGGCTGATAAAGGACACCTTCTGAAAGTCTCAATCACAAATGTCTCATCCCAAGGTGTGGAAAGGACGAGGAGTATGTTATCTGAATATTTAAAATGTTTATTTTCAGGCAGAGAATATTGAATATACTTATTTCAAGTACAGTGCAGGGTGAAGTGGCCTGACATCTGTAAACAAAAGCCATAACAGTTAAACATGGTACAGTGATGTTTAAAGGCACTGCTCTATCTTTGGTAGAACTTGGAGTGATTGAAAACGGACAATTTCAAGTCCTCAAACAATTTTTTATTTAATTCCTCAAAAATAAAAATAAATTGTTTTTTGGCCCAATGTCTGAGAAATACTTCTTCTAATCACCTCTTTACAACATATTTTTTTTACAACTTCAGACAGAAATAAAAAAATGAGATGTACTATGACAAACTAACCAAATCAACCTAGTCAACTGACCCCATCAGACATGCACCGATTGGATTCCCATGTTCACTTCTCTCATTATACCAGTAACAGTTTTATTGACATATAAAGAAATAATAAAACAATTCGTGCGACTGCAAAAACGGGAAAACATAATAAAACCCTGTCATTCAGAAGTGTACAGCATCAATAAGCCATTTTTTTAATAACTTGGCAAAGAGTGCAATTTAAAGTCAAAGTCAGTTAAATATAATACTAGATAGTTTACAGCATGTGTACACCTTGAGTACTTTTGTCGCGTTCTTGTCATCACCCGTCACTTATTTCAGGTCTCCGCAGCTTCCAGTATTTTCTAAAAAGACAAACAGTATCAAAATATTAATAATGGAACTTACTTGGGAACCTAGACCAAAAAAAAAAAAGTCTCAAAATATGATGTGGGGTATGGTCCCCCTTTATATCCATATAATCTCTTCTGAGAGGTTTTACACAAACAATCAAGACTTATATTCATAATCTTTCAGGTTTCATAATGTAAGAGAACTGATTCAGACTGATTTAGCATCAGTTCTCCCTGGTCTGAACAAGTCTTAGATGTTGGGATATAAAAGGCAGAAGCTGATCTTAGTTCAGTGTATATACAGCCCCAGGCAGGACTGCGTTTCAAATGAGTCACGCTGGGTTTTCAGAGATGGAGGGGAGCAGGGATGCTGCTATATTTTGAAAGCTTTTGAACAATAAAAGAACATTCCAGAAAGCTACTAAATCTTTTTTTAAAAGACCATCAAAATGAACCCATAACAGATGTTTTTCTCTGCAGCATACACGACTCCCAGACTATTGACTATGCTGAGTTTCATTTAATTAATTTCACTGCCTGCAGCAAACCAGAGCAAATTACATTCTCAGTGAAAAAGTGTTAGGTGCAATTAACTTTTCAATCCAAAAGAGAGATCAATAGGGCCAGAGCTGCTGATTCTGTGATTCTGTATGTATAAGTTCAGTAAGTCTGAGCTCTGGTCTCCTCTGAGAAAACTGCACAATGGTTATTACTAGGCACACCAGATATTAAAGTCCCCATGAAATCAAAATTAACGTTTTTCGGGTGTTAGTATCAATGCGTTCGTCTTAAGGTTATCTATAAGGCAGTGTGCTCCAAAACAGTGACAAAATTCGCATTTAGAAGATATAAGCATTCAAAGCTTGCAGTTCGTCACTTCCGCCAAAACGGCTCAACGATTTTTTTTTGTCTTCCTGTTTCAGTTAAAATGACATCAACACAGAGTACCGCTGCGTGTTTCTAAGCATTTCAGGGGACCTTTAAGTCCCTCTAAATGTGGTGAAAGAAAAACTTCAATAATTAAAGAGGTCTAGACAACAGTATTCATACTGAGGCCAAATCAATTTTTTTTCCAGAAAAAACAAAACAAAATTAAATAATTAAATAATGTAAATTAAAAATATAAATGATCACTATGTATACGTGTGTGTGTAGGTACTGTATGATTTTGAGATCCATCTTTTCCCACTGAGGACAACTGAGGGACTTATACGCAACTATTACAAAAGGTTCAAATGCTCCAGAAGGAAAACCGATGCATTAAGAGCCTGGATGTGAAAACTTTTGAATTGGATGATCAGGGTTAATTGAACTTATTTTGTCTTCTGGGAAACATGTAAGTATCTTCTGTAGCTTCTGAAGGGCAGTACTAAATGGAAAAAAAAAAAAAAAGATATTTAGGCAAAATAATAAAAACCCCAGGGCTCTTAATGCATTGTGTTTCCTTCTGGAGCATCAGCGAGCGTTAAAACCTTCTGTAATAGTTGTGTATGAGTCCCTCAGTTGTCCTCAGTCTGAAAAGATGGATCTCAAAATCATACAGTCATTGTTGGAAAGGGTTTAAATATGCAAAGGATGCTGGAAAACCAAAGAAATTGTGGGACCTGAAGGATGTTTTTTTCTAAAGAACAGCAGCCAGTTTAACTGTTCAGGACAAACAAGGGACTCATGAATAAGTATCACAAAAAAAAAAAAAATGCTGTGGATCATCACAGTATTAAGAATCAAGCGTATGTAAACTTTTTAACAGGGTCATTTTTATAAATGTAACTATTATTTTCTCTTGTGGACTATATGTAAGCATGTGAAATCTTATTCAGGTCAGTACTAATAAAAATCTGAAGGGCTGAAATCGATCACTTGTCCACAGAATTCATATTTTCTGTACAGTGAATGGCACGTATTGCACTATATAGGGGACAGGGAACGATTCAAACAGTGTAAATATGCTTTCCATTGAGGAAAAAAAGAAGTCTGGTTTGGCGCTGTGTCACGCTAACCACCGCACCGCACACACACTCTGCTCCGGTCTTAACATTTTGCAGATACCGCATGTGTGTGTGTGTGTGTACTGTATATATGATGAGAATTGGGTGGACATTTTTTTGAATAATAATAATTATTATTATTTGACCCTCACATGTTCTTGAAATAATTAATGGGATTCACCTACAAATACAGGAGACACTCCCTTTGCGTCCTTCGGGCTGAATTAGCATTAACAAAAGTGAGAACTGAGGTGTTCAAACAAAGGTGGTTGACGTGCCTAAATGGAACAAATATTCTGGATTTCAAGGGAGGTCCTGATGGACAAACTGGGACGGGACATGTCACTATTGATTATATTAGAAGGAGGTGGGTTAAAAGCTTTTAAGCTTTTGCAACTCCAACATACTATCACTCATGTTAACAACTGAACTCAAATACAAGTGCAAACTCGGAGTCAATAAATCATTAGAGGTTGGACAGCTGTGTACAGTCCCATCACACTGATGATATATTGTCTATACAGCCTAATCATTTATGAGAAAACCATCAAGTTGATTTCGGTCCAAAGTCTGACTCGCAGTTTGTCAGCTCACTCTGTTCACAGCAATGCAATGTTGGCTGTATTGAAAGTGATGACTTCATTTCCCCTAACATCATTAAAGGTTAAAATGGGACATGTCACATTCTCATGGACTTCAACAAGTTGACAGATTGCCTCACACGGCTGGCTTGTTCCACTTCCTGTGACGGTGGTCAGACAATGATGCGAACGCAGACTGAATCTGACGAGGTCCATCATGCAACCAACATTCTTTGCCACTAGGGCTGGATTATGGGGCCAGGGCCTCAGATTGAATCCAAGATTCAGAATCCAAGACTGGGGCATTTGTCCACAAAGTGCGAGTTGACAACTATAGCTTCTTGGCCCCTTAATACGTACAGAGGGGCCCAGGGCCCTACCATATAGTACAAGATAAAGCCCTAAAAAGTGGTTTTAGTCTAATATAAGCAACCAAAACAAACATTTTCAATGATCCGGCCCTGTGTGGCGCAGTTTTTTTCACTTATAGTGGAAACTCAATCATAAATCTTAGTTTTTCTAAGAAGTTTCATCTTATGATCTATGATGTCCCAAGGTGTCCACCCCAAAATTTAAATCTGATCAATGACTATTGATCAACTTCTGTAGGAGTGTCCAGAGTTTAGCTTCAACCCCTATTAAACACACCTAAACAAAGGTAATCAAGGTCTTCAAGATTACTAGAATCTTCCAGGCAGGTATGCTGGGACAAGTTGGAGCTAAGCTGTAGGATGTTGGCCCTCCAGGACCAGGATTGAACACCCCTGACCTTATGGTTAACGTGTGGTACAGTATGGTAATCACTCGTTGCCTGTAGTAGCAGCCGGTCTGTGCCGAATGCGGACTCGCAAAAAGTGGTAATTCAAGCTTGAATTGCTCCGAAGGTAGGAAAAATCCTTATTATGGTATTTACATAAGGGTCAGGAGGTATGATTAATTGGGTTCATTTTTATCACATTATTTATTTTTTTAATTACTCACACTAAATTAGTGTATTAAACTGACAGCCCGGATTCTAAGACAAATGGCCTCCATCATTCAACAAATTGACATCTGTTGGAAAAAACCGAACCATTAATTCTCAGTTCTAAAACGAAGCAAATTAAAACCCAGGACACAACATGCATGCATAATACAAGCTGCCTTATCAAAGCATGGATCACCCATGGATGGGAACTGTAGACACCGACATCTTTTCAAGAGAGACGTATCTCTGGACAGCCACCTTGTCCAACCCATCTACTGTACATGGGAACACTTCGATCAGTATTGACGTAAAATGAGATAATATACAATTTTGAATTAACACGCAGATGGTTCCCAACCATTTTCCTTCGTCTTCAAGAGAGATCCACACTGCCCTTCTTTGTTTTCTATTCCTATCAGCCACTCAAACAGCTGTTACAGTTTAAAGAGGTCTCATTCAGCAAAACAGAAACACTAAAATCGCCAGTTGCCATAATGGTTCCATGACAGTGTTGGCAGTTTGGCCTTTTCCTGGAGTTCACCCCGGATCCTTCCCAAACACTGGCCACTAACAGGGGGTTTCCATTGCCGCTGAAAGTGCCAGCTATTTTCAGAGCCCCTTTGCCCTACAGCAGTGGGAGCTTTTCTCCCGACAGCTGTCTTCACCCTCTCAAGCTGCTGAACACATGGAAATACAGCTAAATGGCGTCATGTGCTGCTAGCTCATCACTAGCACTCTCAAACCACTGGACCAAGCACCTCCCCGAGGTTCTGCAGTCTTATATCACCAACCAAATGCGCTGTTTAACTGCAGTCGGCACTTTTGAACTCTTAACAGATCCGGATGAGGGCACTGAAGCTATTAGCTGCCGTCCATCTTTCTGATGGAGAGACTCTGGTGAAGACGCACCGCCAGCACTGGCAGAGGGACGAGCTGGTGTCAGGTGAAGTTTGTGAGAGAGAATTGGAGGGGTAGGAGCCCAGAAACATCACGTCTTCAGTCATCCTGAAACATAATCAATATGTGTTTTACGACCTGCGACTCTCTGCTAAATTAAAAGAAATGTTAGACGGATGAAACTTCGACGGAGTCCCGCCTTCATCGCAGATCGTCAGCCAAGTGCTCCATCATTCCATTAAATATGCTGTCTTGATTTCGCTGGGAGAATGGTCTTCCCTTTTCAGTACCTACGTTCCCACAGCGTGCACAGATGATACTTGGTCTTCATGAAACTGAGGCCATCAAGATGCTTTCATGGCTTCCTCCTTGAATAAATCTCAGAGTGTATTAATGAACAAATAATCATGCCAATCAGGATATAATTTGCTTATTCTCTGTAGGGTTGCGGTTATTAGTTTTATATTATAAATAATCACTTTTCAAGATTCATTTAAATATCTTCATAATTTTTAAGAAGATACTTGTAAATACTTTTTCAAGCAACATATAAATGGCAATTCATTATATCGAATGGTTTAATAATGCCTGATTTTAAAGGCCTCTTGAAAAACAAGCATAATCACTTTCCAGATCTGACAGTGCTGACATATTTCTGGGAAGGACATATCAAAGTGTTCCTTCACTCTTTTTTAAAAAGCCAATAGGCTTTATGTCACAGCACTAAACCATGATTTGGTACATGTTGCTAGTCAGTGATATAAGAGAAGCGATATTTTCATTTCAAAATGAAAATTGTCATCATTTACTCATTCTCAAGTAGTTCCAAAACTGTTTGGGCTTCTTTCTTCTGTTGAACACACAAAAAAAGTCATTGCCAGTAGTTGTAGCCATTGACTTCCATAGTGTATTTTTGGAAGTCAATGGCTACCAGCAACTGTTTGGTTACTGACATTCTTCAAAATATCTTATTTTGTGATCAAAAGAAACTCAGAAAGAAACGGTTTTGGAACTTCTTGAGGGTGAGTAAATGATTACAGAATTTTCATTTTTGGGTGAACCATCCCTTTAAAGGCTTGTTGTCAGGATGTCCTTCTTCACTGGCTAAAGATTAACTAATCACATGGCGTTTACAGCTCAGGTGACTGCCTTAAACAACTTATCTGGACCTGAGTGCATATGAGTGGAACGGCAGAATTCAATTCACATACTTCGGGGAGGGGTCCTGCGCCAGCCGAGCAACTGCCATTGAGATAAATTACAAATGGATAGATCTCACCAGGTATTATAAACCTCCTTGTCTTGCGCATATTTATCAACATCTACTTATCAGCAAATAAGGTAGAACCAATTGATATTCATAAGCCAGTTGATTTTATAATCGGCCCCCCACTATTTTTCATTCCTACACCATTGCACACTAGTGCTGCGATTTGCTAAAACCAACACATAAAAATGCAAAACTATTAGAGTAGTGCTCATCACGTACCCAAATTAACTGGAAAATATTATAATCCACAGCATTAAGAGGCAAAGGGGGGCCATATCACACACATCTTATCTGCTGTTAGTGAGAGGAGGAAACACAAGGCCACATTAAGGATAACGCTGGATGCCATCAGCACACGCCAGCTCATTGTCATTCACAATCCAACTGTGCCATATCACTAGAGCCATGGCAACGGACTAACCGACCGAGGGCTCGTCTCTGCAGAAATAAAACCATCGAATCCTGTTAAAGCGTGTCGATGCTGTCACTTTGACAGACTTTGTATGGAATCATTATTAATACTTAAGATAATTTATCATGCCTTTTCCTATTTTAGAAGAGAGACGGTGGTCTGAATTAATTACCACAAATGTTCCAAATGTGAATCACTTATTTATTAGTTATTTTTGACCGCAATATTTCACAAATTTAGTGTTTTTATTGTATTATTGGTCAAATAAATGCAGCCTTGGTTATCATAAGTGATAACTAGTACATCTTACCAACCCAAACTCTTGAACGGTAGTATAATTTCATAAATTAATTTTCAGTGTCCACAGTTTTCAAATTAAAGACATATGGAACACATTTTTTACCTACAATAGCAACAAGCAGATAACACTATAATATTATTGTATGTTTATATTAAAATATAATTAAAAAAAAATAATTCAAATCACAGCAAAGTCTCACCATTTATGCATTATTAAACATTTTCATATTGCTTCAAAAATAAGAGCCGACGAATCAGACGAATCAGAATCAATAACAACTGTGATTATGCAAATAAACATTTTATCAACAAAGTAGTATTTCCTTCTTGACTCATTATATAAAAATTGACTATTTTTATTTTTTATTACAAATAACGTATTTATGAGATGAATACTGAACACCACTCACTGAATTAAACATGCAAAATGATGAGGTCATGTTGCATACTAATGTTTGAAATATTTATCACTGCAAAATACATACTCAATGAAAAAGTCTCAATATTATGTAAAAAAAAAAAAAAAATAGAAGGCAGTTCGCAGCAAAGCAGTATATTAGTATTTTATTCCAAACATAGCTTTGCCTTTTGAGGAAAACAACCCCCCATTATTAGTGTGCTTGTCTGCTAAGGGCAGACTGCAGTGTGTTCCTTTGTGACTGACCTACTTCTTATGCCGCATACGAGGTGATAAACATCTTCCTAAATAGCTGAACCTCATTAGCAAACACTACCTGAACGCACTCCGTATGTCAGCAGAGCATCTCAGCATGTACAAAGGTCTCTCCGGATCATTTAATGATCAGAAAGCATGTTAATGCTGCTCTCTGCCTCTCTGAACCAAAAGATAATGGTTGCCACATCATCAATAATGTTGACGCAGACGTGTGTTGTTGACTCTGTGAAGCCCACGGAGGCATATACGCATACGACTATTTGCACTGAAGGGCCTGTCATATAGATGGTCACATTTCCTGTTTGCATGCTGTAGATATGTGCACATGTACAAATGTGTACTCACCCTTTTCTTAAGAGCTTCTAGGGAGTCAAACTCCAGCTTGGCTAGTTTGACTTGGATATGTTTAGGAACATCTGGAATGACGAATGCCAGGATGAATTTGAAGGCAAGGAGAACATGCTGCAATAAACAGAAAAAGACAACTTTACAACACCGTTTTCATGGACTATTATTATGTAATTGTCTCTATGTAATATAATTAAGTGCTAATTACACCTCAAATATCTTTTATGATGTGTATACGTTTTGCTATTCATACTGTCTAATTCCACACAGATCAATGTCACTTAATGGAGAGGCTTTTTTTACAATGTGAACCAGTCAGTCATATTGAATGGCTGGATGATCTTTATGGCTCTCTATGGGTTCAAAGGCCACATTAGTGATATGTATGCTGCTGGCAGAGTGTCATCTGTCATTGCTACTCTAGTGTGTTAAATAGATCACCATATGCCTCTGAAACCAGCTCGCTATTCACCTTTGTGTGATCCAAAGAGATCTAAAGAACTCTTGATGGTTTAAGTAAATGTATTTCTGTTAAATTGATAGTTCACCCAAAATCCTGTCATCATTTACTCACCCATAAGCCTTTCGTCCATCTTCTAAACACAAATGAAGGTATTATAATGAAACCACAGGGATTTCTGTCCCTATAGATTCCCATTCCACCAAAACTTCAAAAATTGCATAAAGACATTGTAAAAGTAAATCATATGAATAAAGCAGTTCAATCGAAGTCTTCCCGAAGAGACACAATCACGTCATAAGATGAACAGATTTGATGTAAGCTTTTAATTTAATATAAACATTGATTAACACATCCAACATGGGAGTACATCAAATATGGTAAACACGAAAGCTCAAAAGTACTAGTTTGACGTGCGAGAACAAAATGAAGTTCAATCAAGCTTGCGTTACATGTGAGAACAAACCTCAATGGTTCTTGTGAGTCAAGCATGCTCATATGAGCTTGTTTACCATATTTGATGAGCTCTGTGTATGTTTATATGTGAATAAATATCTAAATGAAATCTATACATTATATAAAGTCATTGTGTCTACTCGGAAGACTTGGATCAAACCGCTCTGTTCATATGGATTATTTGTACGATGTCTGCTTTTTTGAGCATTCAAAGTGTTGCTTGAATGGATCGTTCGAAGAAAAGACAAATCTCTCTCTCAAAAACTTGAGTTTCAAAAATGAACAAGTGTAATGGATTTGGAACAACATGAGGGTGAGCAACTGATGACACAATTTTCATTTTTAGGTAAACTAACCTTTCAAACATTTCTTAAATGTAGCACAGTTGAATCATGTGATGACGGTCTATAAAATTCACTATAAAACTGCATTTGTCTCAATCTCCCTGAGAGTCAGCTATTGTTGACTAATGTGGAAAGTGCACCAGCTCTGCTTTGGATGCAGCAGTTTAGCTCAGATATCAATGTCAGTGTCAACACTCTAAAACGCTCCTGAAAGTCAGAGAAGAGACAGAATGGATCGTTCGAAGAAAAGACAAATCTCTCTCTCAAAAACTTGAGTTTCAAAAATGAACAAGTGTAATGGATTTGGAACAACATGAGGGTGAGCAACTGATGACACAATTTTCATTTTTAGGTAAACTAACCTTTCAAACATTTCTTAAATGTAGCACAGTTGAATCATGTGATGACGGTCTATAAAATTCACTATAAAACTGCATTTGTCTCAATCTCCCTGAGAGTCAGCTATTGTTGACTAATGTGGAAAGTGCACCAGCTCTGCTTTGGATGCAGCAGTTTAGCTCAGATATCAATGTCAGTGTCAACACTCTAAAACGCTCCTGAAAGTCAGAGAAGAGACATTAGCTAAAGCTGTGACTGATGGAGACAAAGGAACCCCCTGGGACTCATCAACAGATCTGTGTGAACACCAGAACAAAATCTGCTCTTCTTCTGTTGATGACAAAGTAGGATTATAAATGATGTAGTGAAAGGGTGAATATTTTGATGTTTGTTGGGAAATACACCAAAATCCAAATCGCTCTTGAGACTCTGGGCCGATTACAGGCACAAACTTTCACATAAATCACCTGTCGCATGTGCTCACCTAGTTTCGTGAAGTTTTAAGTTTTCGTTTAGACTTTATAGGCTTTTGGGTATATTTGGACACACCCCTTTTCTAAACGATCCCGTTATAGCAACCCAAAGGGTTATGTTCAACATTTTTTGATAATTATTGACCTAGAGAGTTCAGAGAATTGTACAGCAGTGTTTTTTTTTTTCCATGACTAGGTTTTTTACATATTCTCAATTATTTACCAAACAATTTGATTGACAGCAGTGGTTATAGAGACAAAGTTGTTTGGAATGAGGAGGTCTATCAGATGATATAAATAGTGTGTGTATGTGTGAAAAATGTGTAATATGCAATCGTTTATGCCCTTGAAAAACGTGATATCGCCCCCAGTGGCCGATTTCTTTCAAATTTCTCACAGACCATGAGTCAAACAGGCCCACTGAGTTTCGTTCCGATTGACCTTTGTTAACCTTAACAGGTGCTCAAACTTCATTTGCCAATGTTGCCATGTTTTTTTTAGATACGCAAATGTCCTTAAAGACACCTGTGGCACTTTGGACAATGACACTGCATACCAATTTTCATGTTGATCGAACAAATGGTTGCGTAGTTATAGCCATTTTTATGTTTTTTACCCCTCTTTATAGCTCCACCAAGTGATCAAGGCTCCGAGATTTTTTTCATGTGTTTTCTGAGCTTGGCGACGATATCTCATTCCGTTAAAAAAGTTATAGCCATTTTAGTAAAAGTGGTCCTGCCCCTTCTGTTTTGGCGACCCTTTGCGAAATTTTTTTTTTTTTGGTAATTATTGATATTCACTCTTCCAGAGAATCTTTTTGCACTGGTTTGGTTCCGATCGAGCGAAAAAGCTAGGACTAGTTCGCAAAAGTAGGTTTTTCAAAAAATCCAAAATACCCAAAACTTTCGTCATGCATTTTGTCCGTCGTGAGCCAAGGATTCCAACGACATAAGGCACTTGAGCCTGCAACAAACAGTTTAGGAGTTCTGAGTGATTTTGTACATTTGATTGCCGTAGCGCCCCCGTCAGGCCAATTTGGACAAGCCTTGGTTACGTTGTAGACAGTGTGAGTACTACCATCCCTCCAAGTTTCAAGTCTCTATGACTTACGGTATGGTCTGCCTGATCAGTTTTATGTAGAGATCCTTGGCCATTCTAACAATTACAATAGGTTTTCAGCGCTACGCACTTGAACCCCTAAAAAGCTATCAGAGACTCAAATATGAGTACTCCGGAATAGAATAGAATAGAATAGAGGCTAATTCGCCATTGTTTAGCAAATTTTACCAGGCGAAATTCAGTCATTTCAATAAGAATCCACGCAAATTTTGTGTGAGGGCGAAAGATTTCTCCATCTGTTGTTAACCAATAGAAAGCTGTTTGGCTTTTGTGTGAGCTGTGCTTCATGAATCGCTACACTATTGACAATGGACAGTGGACCTATTTTTCCCACAAAATTTCACCAAAATTTTGCTAATACGAAGACAGAACACTGTATTGCACTATAATATAATAATGTAGTAAAAAGCATCATGAGAAAGGAGAGGGTACCGCCCATGATTCGTTCAACCTGTTGATGACCAATCTCATGTGTGACCCATGAACTGGAGGAAAATGTGTGTCGGAGAGGTGTCAGAGTCTTTCCAGGCTAGCCGTCATCTGCTTTAAGATGCAAGTAGAACGGAGTGAAAGAGAGTGTAGTGGCCAGACACATCTGATCTTGCAGCATGTCAGACATGATTAGGCTGTCATGCAACAGCACAGACTTCAGTAAAGCAGCCCTGGAAGAGCCTGTCTGCCAGTTAACACGAGCACTCGCTGGGTGGGGTGTACACAAATACACACACTCTCATTGTGTCCGATTGCTAACTTAGCCACTGACATCTAGACAGTCGCAGTCAAATCAGAATATATGAAAACCATATTTGCCCTCTGTTATAATCCTGTAGAAAGCCATGCTGCAGATAATGGCAAAATTCACAATGAGAGCTTTTCATAGTATAGTACATCAATAAAATCACACAACGTCAGATTGCAAAAACATGTGCCTAATTGGTGCAGGCATGTAGGCCAAACCCAGAAATCAGTTAGCATTTTGGCTCTTCCAGTTCCATCATTCTGGAGTCAGTGGATTTTTTGAACGTGTTTTTGGTCCTGAAATAAGTCTGTGGTAAACACAAGCTCAAGATATTTTCATGTTTTATTCTACGGCATAAAATACATCAGTACATGCCCCTTTTTAAAGCTTTTACTTGTCTTGAAAAGGCTGTTACTAACAAGTGGCTAAATGGGACTACAGAGGTTGTCGGGGACATTAATCACAATCACACTGAATAGGTAAATTCATCTACTCATTAGTCAGCATTCATATATATATATATATATATATATATAAACTGAAAGAGTTGGTGGAGGCTTTATAGAACTCGTTAAACCATGGTGTAGCGTGTAGTTTATAGCCTACATTTAGCTACGTTAATACTTCTTCCAACTGTATTTAGGCTTTGAAAACGTTGTGTTCATTTGTGAAGATTATCATGATGAACAAAACATGTAAGTATCATAAACTTTTGTCGGTCACATTCTTATTTGGGAATCAGGGTGATGCTAACTTAGCAGCTGACCACCTCCAAAAGTAGTAGACGATTACTGTCATACTTCAAATTGCAGTCTCAAATCGTTTATAAAATATATTAACTTATGATGTGTATACGTTTTGCTATTCATACTTGAAAATCCCACACTGATCAATGTCATTTAATGGAGAGGCTTTTTTTACAATGTGAACCAGTCAGTCATATTGAATGGCTGGATGATCTTTATGGCTCTCTATGGGTTCAAAGGCCACATTAGTGATATGTATGCTGCTGGCAGAGTGTCATCTGTCATTGCTACTCTAGTGTGTTAAATAGATCACCATATGCCTCTGAAACCAGCTCGCTATTCACCTTTGTGTGATCCAAAGAGATCTAAAGAACTCTTGATGGTTTAAGTAAATGTATTTCTGTTAAATTGATAGTTCACCCAAAATCCTGTCATCAT